CGCGGGCGGCCGAGGATTCCCAAAGAATGCCCGATGGAATCGCTGCAAGGACAGACCCGCCAGATCATTCAATATGCAAGCGGTGTGTGGAACGTGATTACTGGAAGAAGAGCCTGACCCCGCAGAGCCACGGGCGTGCTGCTTGCAATGATGTTTTTGACGAAGGCGTGTGGGGCGCGGCTATTATGAAACATCATCGGTATGACGATAGAAACCTCGTGTGCCCGGGCTGCGCACAGCGAGGGTTCGCACCCGGCAACATCGACGAGCACCAGTGCGAAGATTGCTTGGAGCATTTTGGCAGCCTCGCGTTCGACAAGTACGTGCTGTACAACGCGAAGAGGCGGGAGCAGGCCCGTGTGGTGTGCCTGGACTGTCAGACGAAGCTGCGGTGTGGGAAATGTACAACGGCGTATGAACTGAAGTACTGGTCGAAGTCTGAACGCAAGAATCACACGTCTTCGAAGGGCACAATTTTGGTTTGCAAAGCATGCCGTGCGCTAGGATTCGACCCGACGGATCTGGAGACGTACATGTGCCAGAGGTGCATTTGCAGGTTCGGCGCCCGGAAGTTCAACCAAACGCTACTGAAGCATCACAAGTATCACAATCGCATGAAGCTACGGTGCAAGGAGTGCGTCGCTGACGTCGAAGAAAGAGTGCGCCACCTGCGCAAAGCACTGCAGAAGAGCCAGCGAACGCGCAAGTGCCAGTGCCGCATTCACCAGGACAAATGCCCGCTGATCCCCGTCTTTTTCGGAGAGAAACGCTGGCCGGGCAGCGACGGAGCGATATCCGCCGACGACCGCAAGTTCTTGGACGAGTTGCAACCGATGCCAGAATGGTGGAGCAGAGCCTGGGGACGATGAGGTACGGCGCGGAGGCCGTCGGCCCAGACGTGTTACTGGGGACACTATCCCTGGGTAGAGTGAGACTGAAGACGGGATGTTGCCTCAATGGACTCGAGGGTTTCTCTGCGCTTCTGAATTCTTGCAGCCGACATGCTTCGGAGAGCATGGGATCGTGTAGGAGGAGCGGAGATTCTCGGCGTGGACGTTTAGATGCCCCGGTTTCTCTGCGCTCCTGAATTCTTGCAGCCGACGTGCTTCGGATAGCATGGGATCGTGTAGGAGGAGCGGAGATTCTCGGCGTGGACGTTTAGATGCCCGGGTTTCTCTGCGCTCCTGAATTCTTGCAGCCGACGTGCTTCGGAGAGCATGGGATCGTGTGGGAGGAGCGGAGATTCTCGGCGTGGACGTTTGGATGCCCCGGTTTCTCTGCGCTCCTGAATTCTTGCAGCCGACATGCTTCGGAGAGCATGGGATCGTGTAGGAGGGGCGGATATTCTCGGCGTGGACGTTTAGATGCTCTGGTTTCTCTGCGCTTCTGAATTCTTGCAGCCGACATGCTTCGGAGAGCATGGGGTCGTGTAGGAGGAGCGGAGATTCTCGGCGTGGACGTTTAGATGCCCCGGTTTCTCTGCGCTTCTGAATATTTGCAGCCGACATGCTTCGGAGAGCATGGGGTCGTGTAGGAGGGGCGGATATTCCCGGCGTGGACGTTTAGATGCCCCGGTTTCTCTGCGCTCCTGAATTCTTGCAGCCGACATGCTTCGGAGAGCATGGGGTCGTGTAGGAGGAGCGGAGATTCTCGGCGTGGGCGTTTAGATGCCCCGGTTTCTCTGCGCCCCTGAATTCTTGCAGCCGACATGTTTCGGAGAGCATGGGATCGTGTAGGAGCGGAGATTCTCGGCGTGGACGTTTAGATGCCCCGGTTTCTCTGCGCTTCTGAATTCTTACAGCCGACGAGATCCGGAGAGGCTTGGATCGTATAGGAGGAGCGGAGATTCTCGGCGTGGACGTTTAGATGCCCCGGTTTCTCTGCGCTCCTGAATTCTTGCAGCCGACATGCTCCGGAGAGCATGGGATCGTGTAGGAGGAGCGGAGATTCTCGGCGTGGACGTTTAGATGCCCCGGTTTCTCTGCGCTCCTGAATTCTTGCCGCCGACATGTTTCGGAGAGCATTGGATCGTGTGGGAGCGGAGATTCTCGGCGTGGACGTTTAGATGCCCCGGTTTCTCTGCGCTTCTGAATTCTTACAGCCGACGAGATCCGGAGAGGCTTGGATCGTGTAGGTCGAAAGCGCGCTCCGATGCTCGTTCGGGCCCTTCTTCCTGGTGTGAGTCGTTCGGGCTCTTCGTGGTGTGAGTCGTTCGGGCTCTTCGCCCAGGTGAGAGTCGTTCGGGCTTCTCGTGGTGTGAGTTGTTCGGGCCCCTCATCCTGGTGTGAGTCGTTCGGGCTCCTCGTGGAGCCTCTTGGGGGCCTCTTGGAGGCTCTCGGGGCCTCTGGGGGTCCTGACGGATGTAAGGTTGCTCCAATGGTGGATGTGCCACTACACATTTTCCGTGGCGCCTCAGGTGGCTTGTACTGTAGGACGCAGCTTGCTGGTGGAACGTGTACTACACTCAGCTGGTCCACGTACGCTTCACGTATGGGTCTACTATAGGAAACAGCTTGCTGGTGGCACTTGTATTGTAGACGGCTGAAGCTCGTGCTGTAGTTCGCGGGTGCTGGATTCTGCATCTATGATGGTGTTTGTTATCTTGTTCTGGTGAAAGTGCTGGTTATTCTACTCAGTTTTAGTTCATTGGTGCGAAGAGTCGTTCCGGCTCCTCGTGGTGTGAGTCGTTGGGGCCCTTCGCCCTTCCTTGTGTGATTGCTTCGGGCCCCTCATTGTGTGTGAGTCGTTCGGGCTCCTCGTGGTGTGAGTCGTTCGGGGCCGTCGTCCTGGTGTGCGTCGTTCGGGCCCCCTCTTGCGTGTGAGTCGCTCGGGCTCCTCGTGGTGTGAGTCGTTCGGGCCCCTCGTCCTGGTGAGACTCGTTCGGGCGCTTCCTTGCGTGTGAGTCGTTCGGGCTCCTCGTGGTGTGAGTCGTTCGGGCCGCTCGTCCTGGTGTGAGTCGTTCGGGCCCTTCCTTGTGTGCGAGTCGTTCCGCTTCCTCGTGGTGTGAGTCGTTGGGGCCCTTCGTCCTGGGGTGAGTCGTTCGGGGTCCTCGTGGGGCCTCTTGGGGGCTTCGTGGAGGCTGTTGGGGCCTCTTGGGGGCCTCTTGGGGGCCTCTTGGGGGCCTCTTGGGGGTCTCTTGGGGCGAAGAAGGCCCCCCCTAATCTTGCAGGTTTACAGTGCCACGGGAGGGCCTCCAGAGGTAATGCAAGAGTTCGGTTCTCTGTGCGGTGCAGATATGTGAGTCGTTCCGGCTCCTCGTGGTGTGAGTCGTTGGGGCCCCTCGTCCTTCCTTGTGTGATTGCTTCGGGCCCCTCATTGTGTGTGAGTCGTTCGGGCTCCTCGTCCTGGTGTGAGTCGTTCGGGCTCCTCGTGGGGCCTCTTGGGGGCTTCGTGGAGGCTCTTGGGGCCTCTTGGGGGCCTCTTGGGGGCCTCTTGGGGGCCTCTTGGGGGCCTCTTGGGGCGAAGAAGGCCTCCCCGAATCTTGCATGTTTACACGGCCACGGGAGGGCCTCCAGAGGTAATGCAAGATTATGATAGGCACGTCCCGCTACGCCCATAGGCCCCACAGAACGACCAAAGTAGGTACCAAAGTAGGTTTCGGAGTAGGAGTTGAAGTACCCCCCCCCCCCCCCACATACCAAGTAGGTTCCAAAGTAGTGTTCGAAGTAGCAACAAAAGTAGCCCCGAGGCCAAGTAGCCTCACCACAAGTAGTCGCATCAAGTCGTGATCCAAGATAAGGTATGTTTCACAACAAGCCGCCCCGTCCCGTTCGACATCCACAAACAAAGGGGTGCGCCTTCCTTTCTCGCCATTATCCTTCCCCTCTCTTTAAATGCCTACCTTCTTCCTTAAGGCTTACCTCCTCCCTAAACTTTACCTCCTCCCTAAACGCTTCCTTCCTCGCCATTATCCATACCTCCTCCTTGCATGTTCCGCCGTGCCGTGCCCGTTCCGCCGTTCCGTGCCGTGCCATGCCCGCACGGCCGTGCCCGTTCTGTCGCGCCGTGTCGTGCGCGCGCCGCCGTGCCCGTGCCGCCGCGCCGTGCCGTGCCGTGCCCGCGCCGCCGTGCCGTGCCGCGCCCGTGTCGCCATGCCGTCCCGTACCGTGCCCGTGCCGCCGTGCCGCGCCGTGCCGTGCCCGCGCCGCGCCGCTGTGCCGCGCCGCGCCGTGGGTGCAGCCATTTTGGCTGACCCTGCCGCCGTCATGAGCGGTGGCGGGGGAGGGTGGGCCGCCGTCGCGGCGGCTGACCCTGCCGCCGCCGTCGGGGCGGCGGGCGGCAGCGGCTGGGCCGCCATAGCCGCCGCGGGCCACGCCGAGGACGGCTGCGCGGCGGATGGTTGGGCCGCGGTGGCGGCCGAGCGTGAGCACTCGCAGCTCGACGAGGCCGTCGTCCCTCACTCGACGCCCCTCCCTCCCTCACCCCCGTCGGTCGCCCCCCCCCCGTCAGCCCAGGCGGACTTGCTGCAGCTCGGCGACGGCGCGCCCGTGGCCGCGCCGTCGCCGAGCGACCCGCACGAGCACGGCCTCGACCTTGAGGCCTTGCCCGCGTGCACCGTGGCAAGGCGCAAGGCTCGGGGCCTGGGAAATTGGGCGAGGGGGTGGACGTCGGCGTCGGGACGGGGGGCGGAGGAGGGAAGGCGGCGGGGGGACGATGGGGGCCAGGGCCGAGCGATGGTAGGAGGCATGGTGGATATAATCGGGGAGAGGGGGGGGGGATGTTGAAAAAAAATTGAAGGATGAGGAGGGATGATGAGGATGCGGAGTGGGGGAGGAGGTATTTCTGCAACTCCTCAGGCTGTGTGGTGTGCGATTGGGCCCCTGCGGAAGCGAGTGCGACACCAACGGATCTCGATGTCGGTGCCGAGTCGGAGTGCGGTGGTTGAGCCTCGAGTTTCTGGGGCGATAGTGGCGGCTGCGCTTGCTGCAGCTGCCGCGGGCGCGGCCGACGACGACGCGCTGGAACTGTTCGGCGGCTTTGACGGCGACGAGCCCGCCGAGCCAGATGCACCCGACGTGCCAGGACCCCCCGAACTTTGGGAGCTCGCGCTCGCGGGCGAGTCGGAGGAGCGGCCGCCGCTACCAGCGGCAGAAGGCTCGCTCGGCTGGGACGTCGCGCAGCTCGTCGAGCAGGTGAGCGCGATCTCAGCGGCGAGCGGGCGCGACCCAGCCTTCTTCAATGTGAGGCAGCAACAGATGGCGAACTACTGGCTCGACGAGAAGGCCAAGACCCTGCCGTTCAGTGAGGAGTGCGATAAGTTCAAAGTGCAGCGGAGGACGGCAGAGGCATTCTTGATAGCTACGGCCAGCGCGTGCAACGTGATGCAGCAGCGGGACTGCAAATCGATGGCTCGGCAGCTGGTGGCATTATCAGGCGCGGAGGCCGAGCCATCAGCTGGACGGAGGCAGTGAGGTACGACGAGACCCCCATGACCATGCGGCTGACCGACACCGAGAAACGCGACTTAGAGAAGCAGCAGCCCCAGTTGCAAGGACCTGGACAAGCCGAAGACGGAGCTGTGCAGATGGTGCCGATCAGCGCGAGTTGCAAGAGCACCCGCGTGGCCAAGATCCTCAACACCGAGCGCATGTACTCCATGCTCTTCCACCTGCCTGCCGAGGGCTACTTCGCCGTTCGCGTGCCGTTCGAGACGCCCGTCCAGTCGCTGAGCAGGACGACTGGCGAGGTGCTGCACGACGCGCTCATGGCGAGCCAGCCGCCGATGGACTGCGTGCCGCAGAGATTTGATCGACGTCAGCAGCTGGTCACCACCGACGGCGCAGGCGGCATCACCAGGATGGAGCGGAACCTAGATCGTGAAGCGGGTGACAGTTGCGACACGTTGAAGCTGAAGTGCGAGGTCCACATGGTGTACAAATGGTTCAAAGCAGCGTTCCTCCACACGAAGCACGACACCAGCTCGATGGTTCACGTTGCGAAGGCGCTGCGCAGTGGCGACGCCATGAGATCATTCAGGACCACGCTCAGGCAAGTCATCTCGGACACGCTCAGGTACCACAGGCAGCGAGCCCCGTCCGCCGTCGACACCAACTACAACAAGATGTGCTTAGACCTGTTCCTCGAGGACACCTCCCCGCACAGGCGCATGAAGCGAAGCGTGATCCTCTCCTTGGCGAATGGGCGCTGGTCGAACAGGCCTCGGATCCAGAAGCCCGTCGCACCCCGCGCTCGAGCAGCCACCTGTCCCCTTCCCGCCAGCGCCAAACAATTTGTAATAGCTTTCGTCGTTGTTCATTTTTTGTCGTTTGAGTTCGCCTTGGGGCTCGGGCCACAGTCCTGGTTGGGCATAAGTTTTTCGGCCACGGGGGTCTCGAGGCACGTTGGAGGGGGCTGCGGTGGCCGATGCTCGTGCGTGGGTGTGCCATTTGGGGTTCTGGTTCAGGCACGTGGTGGAGCATTGTTGCAACGGGTGCTGTCTGTCTCGCAATGATTGCTTGTCGAAGTTCACGACTCTCTTCGTCGCGGCCGTGGCGGCGACCGACCCGAAGGTGTGGCCCGACTCTAGGTGGACGGGCTTCGACCACAGCGTCGACTGGATGGGCGTCCTGGAGTCGTGCCACGGCTTGCTCACGCGCGCATTCCTCAAGTGGTCTGGCGTCAAGGATTGGAGCCAGGGACATGTAATTACCACCCCCCGTTTGCATGCTGATGTCATGCGGTATCCGTCCAAACTTTGAGGGCTTCTTGGATGAGGCGGGAAGGACAGGAGGGGTCGGGGATCGGGTGACTCGGGCGACGAGGGCAAGGAGGGGGTGGCAGCGGAGTCGAGGGCGAGGGTGGCGGGTGGAGGAGTGGCCGATGAGTAGGGCGGGACCGCACGTGACATCCAGTGTCACATTCGAGCTCCCCGCCTCCCTCCTCACCTTCACCTTGCCCCCCTCCTTCGGAGGGGGATTGGGTGACAAGGGACCTTGTGGTCTCGTGCATTTCGAGCTGGGGGGACTTGTCGATGCCCGCTCGCCACGCCCCGCTTACCCCCCCCCGCCGAGGTTGACAAGCTGAATTCCGACGACGTCGCAGCAGGCATGCTGCCCCTGGGCGACGGCGACTACGGCCATGGCGCGGGTGACGGCGCAGTCCTCGGCGACCCATCAGGCGGCGATGCAGGAGGCGATGGCGGCGGCGATCGCGGCGACGGTGGAGCGCAGAATGCCGCAGAGGACGACCGCAGGAAGGAGGACTCGAAGCATCGTTTCTTGGGTGCGAAGTGGCTGTTCAACTCAGGCCCGCAGTCGCGGCTAGTGCTTATCAGGCAAGTGCTGAGGCCCCTTGTGAGCATCATGGGCAAGTACATCGGGAAAGCCGGCCTAAACAATGACAAGTTGGTTGAGTTCCGCAAGCTCCAGAAGCTCTCAGGCATTGATGTCGACGTAGAGTGCGACGTATTCACCGTTATCGCTGCGTCCAAGTTCGTGCTCGAGGACGAGTTTTTCAATGCGCTCAAGGACATCATGACCACCGAGTCGTTCTGGGCCGTCATCCCGCCGAGCTATCGTTTGCACAGCCTTCGCACTGAGGCGTTCGTGGTGTTGAGCCAGATCGGCTGCCTCTGCCACGAGCTCAAGACGCTGCACGGCGGGTATCCTTTCAAAATGTTTACCCTGTTGGACGGGAACTGCGGCGACATCCTGGGCGAGTGCGATGACATGAAGGACCGCTGGGGCAAGGCTCTCATCGCGAAGTACGCCGAGTCCAAGGACGGCTTGCTAGACCCAGACCTGAAGGCGGAGCTCACGCACGCCGCATTCCTCCTCAAGCGCGAGACTGTCAGCATTGAGGCCAGCCACGCGGCCATCAGGATGAGCCTCTGCGCGCTGAGCGTACAGACCCACTCGCTGCACATCAAGCGCCTTTCTGCCCTGAGAAGCTTGCAGCGATTCCGCACTCGGCGGCGTCGTTTGCGCGAGGGGTGGGCTGGCAAGGTGATCAAGGGCGCCAAGCAGAAGGGCGTCAAAGAGAAGCCCGCACCTTCGAAGCGCCAGTTTGGACATGGAGGTGCATGGAGGGCGTTCGTTCGGCAGCGGACGCTGGGCCAGAAGGGCAGCCCTGATTTCAAGTTGCTCTCGCAGGAGTACCGCGAGCTCACGCCAGATGAGAAGGTGAAGCTCAAGGAAGTTGGGAAGACTGCCACGCGAGCTGCGAGGGCTGGCAACAAGCGCCCGTTCGGAGACAAGACGCGCCAGCTGCAGCGATCATATATGAAGTCCGTCGCTGATACAATGGTCAAGGACAGGATGAAGGAGAGGGTCATCACGGAGGGCATCGCCGCGTGCTCGGCCAGCGGGGAGCCCGCCATCGCCGCTGACGGCGGCGCCATCTATATGAAGACGACGAGCTCCACGGCCCTCGCCGACATTGCCGAGGTCCGCAAGGCTACCCGTTTGGAGCAGCAGTGCCGCGCGGAGGAGAAGCTCCACAGCAGCAAGGCGATGCAATCATGGTGCGAAGGAGCGGACGTGGACTCGAGGGCGGCGTGTTTGTCCGACGAGGCATTCCACAGGCTCGAGGAGTTCTTGCCCGTCCCATTCCCAAGCACGGAGCTCAAAGTCTTCGAATGGGAGCCGATGGGCGTCTTGGATCGAGTGAAGCGCGGGCTATCAATAAATCGGCACGTCATTGCAGACGTCTTCGCCGCCCTCATTACAGTCTGGGATAAGATCCACGACACCATCGACCACGTGCCGAAGCCCGACTGGGACGTGAATGACGATGCGGGTATCCCGAGCTGCATGGAAGCAGGCATGTGCGTATGCAGCGGCCATGGCATCGATGTTGGCAAGATCGTGAAGAACTTCGACAGCGCGCTGAAGAAGGCTGTGCCAGTCGGGAAAGTCAGGAAAGATGTTCTGGTGCCTGGTTTCATCGTGGTCTGCGCCTTCGGCCAGCGCCAGCCCACCGAGGACGAGGGGGACGAGGTGGACATCCGCACGAGCGGCCTCGTCGAGGGGCTGCCCGTCGTCGAGAGCAAGTGGCTGCACGTCGGGAGCCAGAGCCTCTCGCCTTGGCGGTCGTGCTTCCACCGCCTTGCTGTTGATCAATATGAGGAAGGGCTCGTGGCGCCGTGGGCGCGGCTGGTGGGCACGCTTGACTTTACCACGCCATGGCAGGAGTTCAAGGAGTTCGACAGGAAACTTCGGTGGTCTGTATGTGTGTACAACATCAGGGAGAAGATCACGCCGCTGGGGACCATCGTACCGAATGTCGTCGAGGTCAGGTTGCAGGAGGAGGTCGAGAAGCCGAACGTGCCGACATGCAGAGTCATTTGGAAGCCCAAGTGGGCGAAGTTGAGGAAGACGCCCGTCAGATCAGGCAAGAAAGACGTGGACTTCAAGTCGGGGTGGGGCTCCGTCGCGCAGATCATGGACGCCGAGGGCGGCAAGGGCGAGGGCGAGAGCGACGACTCCGACGGTGGCGAGGGCGGTGGTAGTGGTCCAGGGCCTGGAGGCGACGGCGCCAGTGACGTGGTTGTCTGCCCTGGCGGAGGCGGAGAGCACGGTGGTGATGTGTCCAGCGATGTGTGCGATGATGGCCAGCATGGGTTCCAAATGGGCGCGACGAATCGCGCGGCTCCATGTACTTCGGCCCCCCCGCTTTGGAAATCAGGTTCGTTTTATGGGCCCCGCTCGGGGCCTGGCCACTGTTTGCGCCAATTGTTTTTGATTGTGTCCAAGTTGTTTTGATTTCGCCCTGGCCTCATCAGGCGGCTAGGGCTAGCCGCGGTTCGTTTGTCTAAGGGGGTATGTGGAGCCGAGCGTTTGCTTCGGCTTCTATGGAACTCTTGCTTCGCAGGTGACTTGAAGGACGTGCACGGAGAGCCCATCGTCGAACCGCCCGTGGACCCCGAGGAGGAGCCAGTGGGCGAGCCTTCGACGCCCAGGTCGTCTACGTCGAGCGGCTCTGGTGACAGCGCGCGCCTCGGGGGCCTCATAGACAGCAGCGACTCTGCGGCAGAGGACTCGGGCGAGGATAGCGCTGGCGAGGATGACCCGCCAGGAGGATCTGCGGCTTCTGGCTCCGCGGTGCCGCCGCCTCCGCCTCCGCCGCCAGGAGGTGGCGGCGCGGGTGGGCCAGGGATACCTGCCGAAGCAGTTCTCGACGTGGACGGCGGCAAGATCTCATACAACCGGACGAAGGATGAGATGGTCGCAACGTGCTCGGACCCGCTGCACAAGGATTGCGGGAAGTGGAGGACTTGCAAGGCAGGGCGCCGCGTTCAGCAGGGCCGGCCTATCGGCTTCCTGGCGGCCTGGTTGAAGGACCATCGGCTACACCTGAATGTCGATGCGCACAAAGGCGTGGCCTGGTATTCGAGAGCGGATCGCGAGGCTGCGCGGGCATATGTGGAGGGCCTGGGCCCAGCAGCAGCGGCGCTCCTCCACTGGGGGCGTCGCCGTCGGCACGGTGAGCCGCCCGAGCCGCCCACTTGCCCTTGAACTTTGAAGTTCGGCACGCAGGTGCCATGCTGATTTTCACTTCAGGGGCGGGTTGCCGCTCCAAGGCGACGACCGCCGCGCTGATAAACGAGGCTATGCGCCTCTTCTCTGTGCACAACATCACAACGCACTGCACCATCATCATCATCATCACCACACCACCAACGCCATCGTCATGCCAGATACTCATGCCATATAAGTATCACGGTTACCTGCACCATCATCGCAACACCGCCGACACGGCACATTCATATACATGCGTACCGCACGCGCGCCATCACGTCCAGTGCACTAGGCGTCGCCACATGGCTCAACGCATCGGTTCATGTTAGCGCAGTTCTCTGCGCCATTGAAGCGCTGATTCAGCGCGACCTCGAAGCCGCCTGGGCTGCAGGGCGCCCGACGCGGGCGCGCGCCGCTCCAATTGCCATTTACCATGCATCGGCATTGCGCTGCACGCGCGCGCGCGACATCGCATTTAGCGACGTGCTTCGGGCGCGCCGCGCGCGCCATGCCGACCGTTGTGTGCCGCTGGGCCGCGGCTGATGAGGATGCGCGGGTCTTTCTGTAGACCAGGTCGCTGATAGTGCATAAGTTATGCGCAATGCGGGTCGCGCTCTGGCTTGCCAGGCGCGCCCCTTGGGCGGATCAGTGTTTGCTGGAGCCCCCGCGGCGCCGCTGCGTGAGGCAGGATGGCGCCGT